AGCTCTGAAATCAAATTATTTAGATAAACAGCAGTGAGAATTCTTGTTCCTGGATGAGAGAATTCCTACGTTAATTATATTGTTTCCATTTTAAATGCCTGATCCTTTTGAAGCTTTAAAACAATTATTCAGAATGCAATAAATGAAGTCATGTTCTTCCAGCTGTGCCTCCTTGTTCTTTGTACTGTTTGGTTCCTGAGGAGGAGGAGTGATGGCGAAGTAACTGCCATTCTGTTTGCTTGGTTGTTTGGTGCAACCCCATCATCTTCCATATCTGTGTATGTACAACTTCCTAGAAGCTGGGTTTTTTCTCCTTTTTTAAACCTTTTTCACAGTGGCAATTGACCTGCTGTGAGGAGAAAGGAATCCTGCACGTGTATGCATATGCACACACACACACACACACACACCCCCGTCAGTAGGTACAGCTGTGTGGCTTGGGGCAAGCTTAGCTGGATTTTACATTTTCCCACTGCACTAGGAGCTAAATGCAGATGCTTCACCCACCTTTAAATTTTCACACTTAAAAATACTGTGAATTGAAATGTCTTGTTTCCTAAGCCTTGTTATCTGAAAGACTTCAGACAATCTCCAGGGTGGAGACTGCTGTGGTTGCTCGTGGTCTGCAGATGTTGGGCTATTTTTTTTTATTGTAGATGCGAGTTTGCAGTACAAGTTGTGGGAATTGGAGGATATGCAGGAAGCAGGCATATATAATAACGTGAACTTCCACAAAACAATTTTAATCCAGTCATCTTCCAAGGAGAGAGAGGTGGCAGTCTCTGCCTCATAATACAGCTCATGCAGGGAGAGAATGAACAAAGCTACACGAGGTAGATGCTAATCTTACCACTTGATGCATGTAGGAAAGGTGTGAAGAAATTGGAGCAGTAAGGGAAGAGGACAATTAAAAGTAACACAGCTAATGCTAGGGACTGTTTTTCTGCCATGTCTTTTTGGTTTTTTGATCATTATCGACTCTCTGGATTTGCACCAATTTTCATGTAAGAAGAGGAAGTGTAGAGATTTTTTAACTAAATAAATCCTAAGGAAACAAATTCTAGTTTGGAGGTAGGGGTCCCAGAACACTTGTGTCATTTGTTTGGCTTTGAGGAGGACAAAACATACAGTGAAACTGAGAGTGTTTTCAGTCATTTGGAAGGGTCATTTGAAACTGCTGGGTTAATCTTTGTCTAGGCCCTGAAAAGGCAATCAAGTGTCGGTTCACATGCACAAAGATGTATGTTTGCACATATAAATCATAATTTGTTTATAATAAACTGTCTTAGCATTCAGACCTGAGAGAAAGTCTTTAACCTTCCCCCCCACCCCAAACACTGCAGCTGACTGTTGAACACGAAAGATCTCAAGTAACAGTAGTCTGTGCTGTTGGTGCAAGAGAGATTATATTTAATACCTGGTTAGACATTCATTAGGTACAAACCTGCAGCAAGTGGGTAGTGTGTGGGTAGTTGCCTTGCTGCTTCCAAGTGTAATGTTCATAGAATCATAGAATAGTTTGGGTTGGAAGGGACCTGAAAGATCATCTTGTTCCACCCCCCCCTGCATCATGGGCAGAGGCACCTCCCACTAGACCAGGCTGATCAAAGCCCTATCCAACCCGGCCTTGAACACTTCCAGGGCTGGGGCATCCACAGCTTCTCTGGGCAAACTGTGCCAGTGTCTCACCACCCTCCGAAGTGAAGAATTTATTCCTTCTATCTGATGTAAACCTACCCTCTGCTGGTTTAAAGCCATTTCCCTTTGCCCCATCACTACATACCCTTGTAAAAAGTCCTCTCTGGCCTTCCT